GCCAAACTTAGGATAGCTCAGCTCTGCACAGAGAACTGCAGCAGGAGCAAAAGTGAGCCCTGTGAGTGTCTGCATGAGAAGATGATCCCAGGAGACTGCCGCCTCAAAGGTAGAGCTGGAACATAAATGATTTGGGGCCTCTGAGGACCACATTAAATTTCCCCCACAATTCAACAGAGAAGCAGTTGAGGAACAGACTTGGTTATTATCTCACTCTGAGGATTTAATTCAATGAGTTCCTCTTAGTAATTAGTGTTTTTAAAAAAAAAAGTCCTGTTTTTCTTCAGAATAGAGAAATTTGGTAGATTTGAGAAACAGACTAAATAGAAACCAACAGCAGAAGAAAGTCTGCACTTAGACCACGAACACTACATTTGAGCTGCCTCAAACATCCAACTATTCCACAGACCGCAAAAACTTTGCCTGTCCTGGGACGCTGATGGAGTGGCACTTTGCAACGGGTATAATGTGCTGGTGGAAAGCTATCAACCAAATAAAAGGCATGTTACATGTAATCCCAGCAAGTGTGCCAATAACATGCAATTTAAACACTGTTTAAAACCAGTAGGTCTGGTTTCATCCTCTTTTGCCAGGATATTATTTGCCATTGTAGAAATCTTTATTCTCTGCTAGGAAATGCTAAGTTATTTATAGAACTTGTAAGAAAGTTGCTACAAATAGCTTAGAATCTCAACTGAGGAAAAGGCACAGACCTCCATATCTGCTCTTAACTCTGATTTTGCCAAATCATGTGATTAATTCTACAACCAGCCGGGTTTAGAAAAGTTTGTGAGGGAAAGGAGAAAAGAAAAGGGTAGAGATCCCTAGAAGGACCCCCAGAACAGACAGGTGTGACTACAGGCCCCATCTCTGCTCCAGTTTCCTGTCACAAATTCTTGACCCTGCCCTTCCTACAGCCTAGGTCCATCCAGCAACAAGCAGCAAAACTGCATTCACCATTCCCTGCTCCACTTGCTATATACCACTGCAGCCCTCCTTCTGACCAAGTCTCCCAGGAGGTGTTGCATCAAGGAGAGAAACTTTACCTTAAAACACCAACTGCAGGGAATGACCACGAGTCAGACAAAATTAACCTTGTCCCAAAGCACACAGTGTTCTGCTCTTCTACTCAGAGAGCAGATGAGTATGTGGAAAAAAATCATATTTTATACTTAGAAGAAGATGTTATCCAACATCTCAGAGTATCCCTCAACTTAATTCCTGGAACATCTGATTTCTCTCCACAGGGCAGCTGCAGGACTGGAGTGGGCCCAGGACACAGGGTCTGCCTCTCTGCTTTGATCTTTGCTCACCAGAGTCTCAGCTTTCAGCCAGAATGTCTCTGCTGCCCAGGGACCACTGGCCAAAGAGCCACCCTTATATTGCAAAAGGAATCCCATGGTACCGTGGGCCACAACCAGACCCAGGCAGCCCAGCTCAGTCATCCTGCTATAGGCCTCATGGGACCTCAAACATGAGGGATATAAATGAATTTCAGGATCTTAATTTTGTAAACCCCTCCAAATCTAAGAACCAGTCACTAAGCTGTCCCCTCTTATATTTTTCTGCAATTAGGCAGTATTTCTAATTTCACAAAGTGCTATACAATCCTGTTTATTCATCATTACATGCTGGCCTATCTCTGAAGATATGGCCTCGTTAACAAGCTTGCAGCAGGATGGAAAAAAAATTGCCCAAACCAGTTTTAGTCCTTTGCACGTGCTTCGATACCTTTTACACACAACTCTATCCTTTATAGCCACTTGGGTGACATAAAAAGCAGTTGGCCAAATCTGTGTAGGGATTTCTCCTCACACTCAAATGGGGCCTGAACAAACAACATAGCAGAACCAGGCTGACTTTTCTCATGACACATGACAACAAGTTTAGCACAGCACATAGTTAAATGTAGAGGCACAATTAGAGTGGGTGATTAAGTTAGCAAGAGCTGCTTTCCACTCAGAAGTGCTCTTCAAAAATTCCTCTCAACCAAAGAACCATTTGTCTGCCAGAGAGGACTGCACTGCAAACCACACCTCCTCCTGGCTGCCAGGACAGAGGCTGCTCCACATGGCCCTCCTTAGAGAGCAGGTGGCTGGTCCTCATGCCCTCCACGCTGTCAGCCTCTTTGTATCCTCCCATTAACACTGGGAGCTGGCCTCAGCCCTGCACAGTCTAGTGACTGCCATCTCCAGAGGAAGTAAGAGGTTGTCATAAGGAGAAAGACTCAACCCTGAAGGGAGAGGTAACCAGCGAAGACAAGATGTCCACTTCCCCCTTTGGATCTGTCCTTTGGTCACACCCCAAGCAGCTGACAAACAGTCTTTCAGGACTCACTGAGGGGGATCATCTAATATAGCATCTGCATGAATGTGGTTGTGGACAGATTCAACCAACACCTCAGTCAACTTTTGGTCCAGAAAGATCATGAAGACACGCTCTTTTCCAGAGTCCCCATAACACTTCTTTTGCCCAAAGGCTGCAGGAAGAATCGTTGCACACAGGAATGGGAAACTGGAAAAGACCATTCTTACCCCTTGACTACTTGAGAGTTAGCCTCAGCTTCCCGGAGAAAATGCAGCCAGTGGCCAGGAAGCTCCTCTTAATGTCCCACTGCACTCTTTCCTCCCTGCTGAGGTCCCAGGTCTCTATCATTCACTTCCCACTGGAAGTAGGAAGCTGTGGTCTCTTTCAATCCTGAGCCAAACCACGGACCTCCCTGTCCCTGTTCTTAGCTAATGTCCTAAAGCAAAGCAGCTGCAGAGCCAGAACGAAGCTCTGCACGGAGAAAGAGAACTGTGCAGAGTAAGCAAAAAGTTTATCAGCAAGAGTTGCTCCGTCAAACTTCAAAAGCAAAAGCTTTGCACTGATAGGACGTCTCAGCTCATCAGTAAGGTACCAAAAGGAGACCTCCTCATCTCTCCACCAGCACAAGGCTCTCATCTCGTGCCCTCCTAACCCACAAGAGAGCCCCGGGCCCCCAGACCCGCCCCTACCCCCTGCAGTCCTGTGCCCTCAGAGCTTCTCCAGCCTCGCTCCTCCAAAGCCCTCTCATTTGCTCCCCAGGCCCCGCCTCGCCTCCCCCATCCCATTTCAGCCGCCCCTCCTAGGCTTGCCCTCGCCCACTAATGACCCCCTACAGGCGCCCCCTCCTTTCACCACGTTTACAGTTCCCTCTCTCATACCGTTCCCCCCTCTGCTCCTACACACACCCCTAGTGCTCACTCTATTCTCCTAATCCCGGTTAACCCTTCACTACCCGTAGGCTACGTTAACCCCTTTGTCCCCATTCTCAACTTGAGCTTTAACTCCTTCCCTCGCAGCAGGAAGCCCTCCTTCCAAGTGCTTTAACTATTCTTCTCCCCTCCTCCTCCGCCTCCCACAAATTACTTAGACCCCAGTGCTTTAACCCTTCCCAGCCCGCCCCTGTCTCCCCGCGGCCCAGGGCATACCAGTACTTGACGATAGCGGTAACCTGGAGCGGGTTTGGCTGGTCAGGGTAAAGACGGCGGCACTCTCCGTAGATAGCGTGCAGTCCCGGGGGAAAGAGAGAGGCGAAGGCCGGGGGGGCAGCAGGGCCAGGGGCCGGGGGCGCAGTGGGGCCGGGGGCGCCGCTAGGCCGCAGCTCCGCCATCGGGGTGCGTAGGGCGCTTAGGGAACCGGGGAGGGCAGACGAGGAGGAAAGCACTGACGGGCCAGCGGCGGACTCGGTAGGTGCGACTCCCCGAGGCGATGGGGGCTGCAGCGAGGTCTAGCTCCGCGCGTGCGCACGGTGCACTGTCCGCCCAGGCCGTCGCCGCCGCTGAGTCTGCCAGAGGGTGCCTGGGGGCCGCGGGGCGCTCAAGGGGGCGGGGCGCCGGTTCGCCCTATCCCAGCACCCATTGGTTAACGTCTGTGCCAGTCACAGGTAGAGAGGGCGTGACTTGACTATAGGCCCCGCCTCCCTCTCCCTGGTTTGGGAGTATCCCAAGGCTCTTGGTCTCCCCCTAGTGTTAGGAGGAACCCAGATTTAACAGAGACGTTGAGGCATCTTTCTGAGGTGCTAGGGTCCCACGAAAGCACTGAGAGATGAGCCGACAAAGTGTTTGTCACTGTGCTGACACGTTGCTAACAACGATTTAAACATAAATCTGGCAATGGAATGATTCATTCATCCGTGTGGCATTAGTTTTAGTAGATTACGTATCTAATGTTTCCTAGTGCTATTGACAAAAGGGCCCCTGCAACTTGAAGCGGGGCGGAGAAGGAAATAATCCAAAGAAAAATGCACTGGGCATTTGAAAGCAGTGACACATAACCTCTCTTCACCTCCATTTTCTCACCCATAAATGTCAATTCTAGCTCTTCGTGAAAATTAAAGAGATACTGGAGCAGTTCCCGAAACCCTTAGATGATGTTGTAACTACCAAAAGATCACCTATACCAGTAATTCCAAATGCCAATCTTCAGACCAGTGTTAGCCCGTTACAAAGTTTACACCTATCCAGGGAAAAATGCGAAAAGCAACGACAATGTACAGCTTTTTTTCCTAAAGCTAATTTTATTCAATTTTAATTGTTTTGCTTTGTTTTAGGGATATATTCTTCGTGTGCTTGTGTGTGTGTGTGTGTGTGTGTGTGTGTTAAAATTTCCTATTAGAGTGTGAGGTGCTAGGAGATGTTTATTAAAGTCTTATAGGCCCAAATAAAAACATGGCAACCCTATATTGTGCAAGGGAAAGGGGGTCGGGAGTGGCAGGACTGATCCGTAAAATCCAAACATCCACGAATTACTGACCAATCCAAACCGCAGTACAGACAAGTATTCAGGAAGACTACATACTTCAGCATGCATTGCGAACTCTTTCAAAGGGACTACATATCCAGACTTGCAACACAACCATCAACTTGTGTCTCCATCCATTTACTATATGGAGACTACAAACCCCAGCTTACTGCGCATCGGAAATGCGACGCCCAGTCTCAAATTAGGCGGGGCTCTGCAGTACGCCGGGCCTCTAACCGAGGTGCAAAGCATTATGGGGATTGTAGTTCTTCAGTGGAGAGGTCGGGCCGCTCCCTGGCCGCCCTGAGCCGGCGGCTAGACTGCGCATGCGTGTCAGTGGCGCTAGCTGCGGACCCGGCTGGCAGTTCCTTCCTCGGAAGGAGAGATTCCCCTGCCATGGAGTCCTACGATGTGATCGCCAACCAGCCTGTCGTGATCGACAACGTGAGTTGCGTCTTTTCTATATCTAAAGGAACCTGGGCTCTCTTCCTTGAAAGGATGGCTTCCCGGGTTTCAGCCTGGGCCGCCGGCTCTTTGTCACTGGCCCGGCCTGTCAGGCGGGTTCAGCCGCCACCGCCTCCGTCTCCCCCCCTCCTCCCCGTAGTCAGCAGGTAGACCAGTCGGCCAGCAACCGTGAGATGGAGAACTTTGGGGTGGATAAAGGGAAGAGCTGTAGTCCGAGCGGGTCCTTGGGCCCTTGGCTCGAGGGGCCCTAACCGCTCTGTGAGACCCTGTCGCCCGCCCTACCCCGAGTTTCCGATCACTCTATTGGTTTCCCTGGCTGTCCATCTTGGCTGCCGACCCCGCCTCTGGGCCTTGCCGGATGAGGGCAGCGGTCTGCAGTGATTGGCTCGTGCCCCTGCCGTTCTTCCCAGTCGCCATAGTGTTTCCCCTCTCTAAGGGGCGGTGCGGTGCACGGAGGTTGTGGGGATTGGCTTCAGGGACTCGCAGTGGTGGGGCTTCAAGGCGAGGGCCCGCCCGCGAGTGGAGAGGGGCTGTTTCCTTCCATCCAAGCCGGCGCGGCGTTTTGGTGTTGTGTGTCTGGGTGGGGCCCAAGAATCTAGTGCCAGGAACAGCCATAGGATTTCAGTTATTTCTGTGATTATAAACTACGAAGTTAATAAAGGTCGAGGAGAAAGGAGAGTGACAAAGCAAGCGGGGAGGTGCTTTCCTCTTCGGAACTCCTGGTTGTTAGCGGGAAATATTATGTTACCAAACATAATATTTGCCAGGCACTCGAGCGCTTCCAGGGCGCTTTCGCGTACATTCGAGTTGGATCCTCACAAAAACTGGGTGGATAGTTAAGAAGCAAGTTTGATCCTCATATTACAGATGAGAAAACTGAAGCGCGAAGAGGTAAAGTGAGCCCAAGGTCACACAGTAGAGGTGCCCTAAATCCAGTGTGCTTTATCAGTCATTCCTTTTGCCAGCACCCTCACGCAAAGCATCATTAGTGACAAATAGAAAGAATCTAAATACTGCTCTTACTTTGGGGGGAAGGAGGCCGTTATAAAACGACTGCATTTCTGCCTCCAATTTAAAGGTTTGGTACCACTGAGATTGGTTAATACCTTTCTGTGCCCCTTCTAAGTCCCTCCACTGAGGCAAAACTATCAGTTCCTCCTGTCCCAAGCCGACTGTCACATTCTCTCGATTGGTCCAGCTCTTAGGCCGTTGGATATATTACAATGTCCTTTCTCATTAAGCTTCAGCTCTTTTGGGTGGATAGGAATTACCACCCCCAGTTTATGCAGGAGAGGTTAAATAACAGTATTCAAACCACCCAGCTTAGGTGTTGAGGAACCTATACTCAGGCTGAGATCCAGGTCCAAGTTCCTCACTTTTTCCAAGAATAGGTGTTTTTTTCTGTTGTTAGCTTTCCTTCTTACCAGAGGTATGGCTTCTTCCTTGAAAAGGGCAAGGTTGAGCTCGATGAGACACCTCATTTTTTTTCTAGAATTGATAGAAATGAGAGACACCTCATTTTTGAGAGGATTTTTTCTTTCTTTTTTTTTTGTCTCCCTCACTAGACTGTGAAATCCTTGTGGGAAAAGATGGTATTATTTTATTTTATTACGCACCTCCCTCCACATGCACAGTACCTAGGGCCTGGCACCATTGTGTGCTCAATAAATGTTTTTCATTGCATTGATGGGTGAGTGGATGAATAACTGAATCAATCTATCACAGTAACAAAGATGTCCCTAAGTAAAGAAACCATGAGGAGTTTCCCCTAATTAGTCACT